CTTCAACATCATCTCATTGTTATTTTGATTTTTCTCTCTCTAATGGCTAGTGATCTCGAACATCTCTTCATATATTTGTTGGATGCCTGAATGTCTTCTTTAATGAAGTGTCTGGTCACGTCCTTTGCTCATTTTTAAGTTGAATTGTCTTTTTGTTGTTGTCGTTTGAAGTTTTCCATAAATTTTAGAGATTAGTCCCTTGTCAGATATGTTGTTGCCAAATTTTTTTTCCCAGTCTGTAGGTTCTCCTTTTACTCTTTTGAATGAGTCTTTTGATGGAAAGTGGTAAGTCTCTCATTTATTAAAACAATAATAAGATCTTTTTGGGGTTTGCAAAAAGGTCTTGGAGGCGGCATCTTTTGACCTCCTCTAACTTCATAAGAGGACGACAGAATCACCATCAGCAGCCCAAGGCTTATTTCTATGAGGCCAGACATGCTGCCACCCTCCAGCCTTTTACCAATTCTGACATCAATCATCCCTTCCATGGCACTCACTACTTCTCTGCTGGGTTTGATAATTCATTGCAGTGGCCACACAGAACTCACAGACAATACTCATGATTGTAGGGTTTATTAGGGAAGTAATAGGCTACAATTCAGGTTCAGGAATGCACTCAGGATATAATTCTTTGATCAGGACAGTCTCCCCTCTGCTATGCTCTCAGGCTCACCTCTCTGGCCTTTGGCCTCTAGGCCTGGCTTCTGCCCTGCTTGGGCACTTTTAGCTCTGCAGATAGGTACACCTAGGTGCACCCCATTCCATCAGCAAGCCTCATGCCCAAGGTCAATCAGCTTTCTTGCTCTGTGTGCCAGGTAAGCCTGCCACTCTGTCTTATGACTCTTGGTTCCACTGCAACTGTCTCTCTGCTGGGCATCTCTCTGTGCTGGTGTGTCTCTGCCAAGGAGGTCCAGTGCAGGGATCTCGGGTCCAAGGATGCACTCTACGTCACCTCTAGCTCTTCTTTCTTGATGGCAGTGAGATCCCCCCTCTATTTCTAAGAGAGCTCATTTAAGACTGGCAGAGTGACAAAACTAACCAATCCTCACATCAGAATTCTACACACCTTATTTGCATGGTCCCACCCAGTAATCTGATGGGAGTTACAAAGACTGGTTAGAAAAGCCATACCAAGTAAGTCACTATACCGCAGGTTAAAAAAAGAATGAAAATAGTTGAAAAGAATTGGGTATATGTTACAAGGGGTATGATTGGAATAAGACAAGAAATACAATAAAAATAAATGAAAAGATTGCAAAGAAATAAAACTCATTTTAAAGGGATGATATTGTTTATGTAAACATGTTTATGGAAAAAACCTAAAATATAGTTATTTTTAAATTAATAAATTTTAGCAACATTTCTGGACACAAAATCATTATATTAAAATCCAATTGCATTGCTATTTATCAGTAAGAGTTAGGAAATGTGATTTTAAAAGATAACATTTAGAATATCATGAAAAATACAAAATACTGAGAATAAATATGCCAAACTATATAGAGCATTTATGGACAAAGTTGTAAAACTTTACTAAAGCCATAAAAAAAAAAAAAAAAAAGGAGGTATATAACACATTCATGCATTGGCAGACCAAAAATTAAAAAATGACAACTTTTCCCAAATTGATCTATGGATTTAGTGCTGTCCCAATTGAAATTTCAATAGTTTTTTGCTTTTCAGAACTTTAATATTCAGGAAAGTACTTTTGAAATAAAGTATAAAGATCTACTTAAATGCAATGAATTATTTTTCTTATTTTTTTTGCCAATTCTCTCTTTCAAATAATTTAGAGGGCCCTAAATGCTAAAAAGGAGCTCTGGTAGCATAGTGCCTAAGGCACTTGACTGCTAACCAGAAGGCTGGCAGTTCAAACCCACCAGCCACTCCTCGGAAGGAAGATGGGGCAATCTACTTCCGTAGTGATACTGCCTCAGAAACCCAAGGAGAGGTCGCTATGAGTCGGGTCTGACTCAACGGCAAACAACAACAACAACAACAAAATGCTACAAAGGAGCCCTGATGGGGCAGTGGTTAAGCACTCAGCTGCTCACTGAAAGGTTGATGATTTAAACCCAAGAGGGAGAAAAATGTGGGAGTTCCCTTCCCTGAAGAATCATAGCCTTGGAAATTCAGGGGGGCAGTTCTACTATGTCCATAGTTCACTATGAGTTGGAATCAACTCAACAGCAACGGGATTGGTTTGCTTGTTTTATATGCCACTAGTTCGTGACAATAACATTGACCTTTGAGGTCCTTAGGTGGCATAAATTGTGATTTGAACCCAGTGGCACTGTGGCAGAAAGGGCTGGCAGTCTGCTTCTGTAAAGATTAAAACAAAATAAAACAACTCTACTAGAGTTTTCTGTAACATGTGGGGTTACAGAATTGCCTGTGGCAACTGGTTACTGGGTTAATGCTGATCCCCAGGGAGCCTCACTGTTTAAAGTCTCCTTTCAGAGTTATGATAGATTTCCCGGACCTTTTCCAGGTTACTAAACCAAATTCAAAAATGGTTGCAGTGGTATTTTGACAGAGAACTTCCAGAAATGCAAGCTGGATTCAGAAGAAGATGTAGAAGGAGGGATGTATTTGCTGATGTCAGATGGATCTCGGCTCAAAGCAAAGAATACCAGAAAGATGTTTACTTATATTTTATTGACTATCAAATGCCAAAGCATTTGATTGTGTGGATCATAACAAATTATGGGTAACATTGAGAAGAATGTGAATTCCAGAACACTTAATTGTACTCATGAGGAACCTGTACATAGATCAGGAGGCTGTTGTTCGAACAGAACAAGCAGACACTGCATGATTTAAAATCAAGAAGTGAGTATGTCAGGGTTGTATCCATTCACCAAACTTATTTAATCTATATGCTGAGCAAATAATCCGAGAAGCTGGACTATATGAAGAAGGATGTGGTATCAGGATTGGAAGAAGAATCATTAACAACCTGCGATACGCTGATGATACAACTTTGCGTGCTGAAAGTTAGGATAACTTAAAGCACTTTCTGATGAAGATTGGAGAATACAGTCTGCAGTATGGATTACATCTCAATATAAAGAAAAACAAAAATCCTCACAGCTGGACCTATGAGCACCATCATGATAAATGGAGAAAAGATTGAAATTGTCAAAGACTTCACATTGCTTGGTTCTACAGTCGACCCTACTGGAAGAAGTAGTCAGGATGTACAGCTGATGTACAGCACTGGTCAAATCAGCTGCAAAAGACCTCTTTCAAGTGCTGTCTTCAGCAAAGATGTCTCCTTTAGGACTAAGGTGCTCCTGACACAAGCCATGGTATTTTAAAATGCCTCATATTGATGCTTTTGAGTTGTGCTGGTGAAGAATGCTGAGAGTACCATGGACTGCTAAAAGATCTAACAAATCTGTTCTAGAGGAACTGCAGCCGGAAAGCTCCTGGAGGCAAGAATGGCCAGACTTCGTCTCACCTACTTTGGTCATGTTGTCAGAAGGGACCATTCTCTGGAGAAGGATGTCATGCTTGGTAAGGTGCATGGTAGGGGAAGGAGGGGAATGCCCTCAACTAGATGGATTGATACAGTGGCTGTGGCTATGGGCCCAAGTATAGCAAGGATCATGAAGCTGGTGCAGAACAGGGCAGTGTTTAGTTCTGCTGTGCATAGGGTTGCTATGAGTCGGAAATGACTTGACTACACCTAAGAACAACAAACCAAGTTGTAGGAGCTCTGGTGGTATACTGCCTAAGGCATATGACTGCTAACCAGAAGGCTGGTGGTTCAAACCCACCAGCCACTCCTGGGAAGGAAGGTTGGGCAATCTATTTCAGTGCCTGAGAAACCCAAGGAGGGTTCGCTATGAGTCGGATCTGACTTGAGAGCAGTTTTTTGTCTTTTTTTTTTTCTTTTTTAAACCAAATTGTGGCCAAGTTCCTGGTTGGCACAAATCATTAAATACGAGACTGGACATCGATGAACAAGAACAAGCCAAATTGTGGCCAAGTTACCAATTTACCAATTGCATATTAATTAAACTTTTAACTAGATTTTGTGGAGAATCTACCCAAAGTCTTAAAAAAAAACCAGCCTAACTAGATTGTTTCTAGGGAGCTCTGGTAGCATAGTGGCTAAGACACTTGCCTGCTAACCAGACGGCTGGCAGTTCAAACCCACCAGCCACTGTCGGAAGGAAGGTTGGGCAATCCTACTTCCGTAGTGATACTGCCTCGGAAACCCAAGGAGGGGTCGCTATGAGTCGGGGCGACTCCACGGCACATAACAACAACAACAACAACAGATTGTTTCTACTCATTTCACCTTATAGGTGTCCTTCACTGTCTTTGAATACCATGTTACCAGTTTTTAAAACGCCTGTTTTGAAAAGATTGCTGGGGTGTTTTGGAGAAGTGGGCCTCAAGCCAGAACCTTCGCAAAGCCACTTATATTTCAAATGATGAAATATGGTTATTTAATAAAAGTTATATGAAAATTCTGTGCAAAGAAGTCATTTTTTTTTTAAGTATATGTGCTGCCGAAGCACATATATAAAATATGACACAAGAAGTAATTTTTTGTGCATCCCTTATATGCAACACATTGCATTCACCGGTCATTACTTTACAAAGAGGTAAGCCGGTTTAGGAAAAGGGACCGGCTCCAGGCTCAAGGTTTGTGGAAGGCAGCAAACCACAGGCACTCTGTGTTGGGTGGGGCTGTGCTTGGAGTGAGTTAGGTTTTGGTGGCACCGCGAAGACGTTCTTCAGCCGGGCCAATTCCGAGGCCCTTGCGGGAAAGGTGCGGCCTCAGTTGTTGTAGGCTTTGTCTTAGCGGGAGCGGACGAAGCCTGAGAGAAAGTAGAATAGGCCCTATACGGAAAGGGGGGCGGCCTCCGACCGCGTAGGCGAGGCCTTGTTGGCGCGAAGGCGGGCGGGGCCCGTTCCAGTTCCTCCGCGCGCGAAGGGTGGGCTAGAGGCGCGCGACGCGGACACCTTTCCCGTACCTGTAGGCCATGGAGCGGCTGACGTTGCCTCCTGGCGGCGTGGCGGCCGTGGACGAGTACGTGGAGTATCGGAGGTGAGTCGGCGGTGGCAGTGGCTCCGGGGCTGCTTACCTCCCTCCCGCGGCTCCTCTGGGCGAAGAGGACCGAAGCTATCCCTCCTCGCCTCGGTCACTTCCCCCTCGCCGGAGGAAGGCTAGTGGAGCCGGCAGGAGGCCTAGCGGGCGAGCGTGGAGCTCGCGAAATCCGTTCCCGGACTGTTGAAGGGAGGGTTAGGTTAATTTCAAGTTTGGTCTTTCTATAGTTACATATTGTCGTGACATGCAGTTTTATTCAGTGGCCTTCTCCGAGGCCATTTCAGAGGTCCGACCTCCTTCCCTTCCAAGAGGGATTATTAACTCTAGATTTATGTAAAAGTATAATTGTTTCTTCTAAATGACCACAAAGAAATTGCATATTGAGAATTAGAGGCCTATACAAGTTAACAGACACAAAGGTTGCATTCAGTAGTTGCATAAAGTAGTTGTTAACTTCCAAACGCGCTCCTAGCCTCGAATTGATGATTTTAGGAGAAAGACACCTACCGGTGTAGTTTTGGACTCTGAGGAGACTTCTCACCCAAAACAGGAAAGGTAGTGGTTCGTTTAGTAGCTTTGGATGCTGTTCTTTGCCATAAAGCCTGGGACCTGACAAAGGCCAATGCATCTGCGCTGACGCGTTCTCGGATCTCTTAAGAAAGGTTTTGGAAGTTGGGAAACGTGGACAGATGGGAAGTACTGGAGAGAGTCAAGCGGTGGGATGCGGGCCTTAAAGAGGGAGGATGTATGTGTACCGGTGGTAAGCCAGACAATCCCAGCCTCAGCCAGGATATCGGAGTGAAAGTGGCAGCTAGGTTTAACATAGGAGCTCTGGTAGCCTAGTGCCTAAGGCAGTTGACTGTTAACCAGAAGGCTGGAGGTTCAAACCTACCAGCCACTCCTCAGAAAGAAGGTTGGGCAATCTACTACGGTAGTGATACCACCTCGGAAACCCAAGGAGGGGTTGCTATGAGTCGGGTCCGACTCCACGGCACATAACAACAACAGGCCTAACATTGGTCTCCCCAAATCACCCAGAGAGTCTTTGGACAGCCTGGTTTCCCAGCTGATTGCACTCCCTCTCACTGCTCCGCTCCTGTAGTTTTGCAAAACTCCTAAAATTGCCTGATATTCAGAGTTGGAAAAATGAAGCCAGAAGATGAGGAGCTGAATGGATCAGTCTGCATCCCTGGTTCAGGGTGGGTCCAAGTAAAGCTGGGATTCCTGGGAGCTTCCACTCAGGCCTCTGCCTGGACAGAACTGATCATTTAGTCTCCTTTCCCTGGAAGCAAGTTGCTGGGCCCTGGTGATGACTGATAATTTAGGTATTTAGATACGTGGATTGTGGGCTTCCAGTTGTAGTCTCTTGCCTGGTTCAGAAAATGATAGGGGAGGGCTTGTTGGGAAATGATTTTTGCAAGCATAAATTAGCCTGGAACACTTCTCTATACAAGTGTAGAAGTGAGAGATTGTTTGTGGGTTTGGGCTTGTGCAGACTGAAATGTATTTAGGTCTCACATTAGTTTAAACTGGCCAGGGTTTGGGGTCAGGTGTACCGTTACAATGAGTTAGAATCAACTCTGTGGCAATGATTTTCTTTTAATAAGTATTTATTGTGTTGGCTACTGCATTTTTTTTGTACCTTTTTTAAAGAAAGAAAATGTTAGAACTTTTGACAGTTTATGTTCTAGCTTTTAATGTGAAAAATAAGCACGTGTGCTTCAGAATCAAAGGAGAAATTGAAATGAATACTGATAATTCTTAACCATCTAAAAACCAAAACCAAACTCACTGCTCTCAAGTCGGTTCTGACTCACACTGACCCCTCTTTGGGTTTCCAAGGTGTTATCTCTATGGAGGTAGATTGCCCTATCTTTCTTCTGAGGAGTGGCTGGTGGGTTTGAACTGCCAGTCTTCTGGTTAGCAGTAAATGCCTTAGGCACTATGCTACCAGAGCTTATTCTATCAGTAAATATCATTATCAGTAAAGTCAAATGTTAGGCATTCTCTGACTTTCTTACTTATAATTTTTTATGTGCTAATTAATAGCTTTATTGTTATTGTTGTTTGCTGACTCATATAACCTGTGTGTAATTTGGCTGTTACCATAAGCCTAAAGTAAAAAATAGGAGCTCTGGTGGCACAATGCCTAAGGCATTTGATCACTAACCAGAAAGGTGGTGTTTCAAACCCACCAGCCTCTCCATGGAAGGAAGATGTGGCAATCTACTTCTTTAAAGATTTACCACCTTGGAACCCAGTGGGTGGTCGCTGTGAGTCTGAATTGACTCAATGGCAGTGTTTTTTTATTCTTTAAAGTAAAAAATGAAAGTCAAAGCAACCTTTCCTTTGACTCTACAAGTGTAGTTTAATTTTAGAGTTTAGTATTTTTAAGCTGGAAAAGAAATACTTAAGGATGTGAAATGATCAGGCTGAAAGAAAGACTTAAGAAGTATTTTTTTGTTGTAGAATTGTTGGTGAGGATGATGGAGGGAAACTTTTTACTCCTGAAGAATATGAAGAATACAAAAGAAAAGTTTTACCTATGCGCTTGCAGAACCGATTATATGTGAGCTGGCGATCACCAACTGGAATGGATTGTAAACTTGTGGGCCCAGAGACTCTGTGTTTTTGTACACATAGGTAAGATATTCTATTGGTAAGTTTGTTATGATTTTATAAAAATATAAAATCATACCAGAGCATAGCTTCTTTCTATAAATAGCACTAATTGTGATGACTGAGAAACTTAAAAAAATAAGCCTTTATAGATTATACTAGAAACTATGTAAAGATTTTTTTTTTCCACTATAATTAAACATTTCTATAATATTGTATTAGAACACGGCATGGAGTCCACTGCCTTAAGCAACTTTTCTCTTGCTTTGTAAAAAAGACATTGGTGCCCTGTGGCTTTACCAGGGGTCTTTCACTTGACCCAGAGACTAGCATCTACCTCACCCCCATTAGACAAGGTAGAGGACAGATTGGCTGGCTATAGAACTGCTTTAAGAGTTGCTTGAGTTAACCCCCACTAATCATATGTTCGGGAGCTCTGGTAGCATAGTGCCTAAGGCACTTGACTGCTAACCAGAAGGCTGATGGATCAAACCCAGCAGCCACTCCTTGGAAGGAAGGTTGGGCAATCTACTTCCATAGTGATACCACCTCGGAAACCCAAGGAGGGGTCACTATGAGTCGGGTCTGACTCAATGGCACACAATAACAACAACAATCATATGTTCTACTACCATATGCCAGTCTGTCATCTTGTGGTGGCTTACATATTGCTATTACACGTTTTGGTGGAGCTTCCAGACTATGAAAGACTAGGAAGAAATGCCTGGTGATCTACTTCCAAAAATTAGCTAATGAAAACCCTAAGATCACAACAGAATATTGTCTGATAAAGTGCTGGAAGATGAGCCTTCTAGTTGGAAGGCACTCAAAATAAACAGTGGCTGCTACAAACTTGATTATACCAATGACTGTGAAGGTGGCATAGGACCAGGCAGCATTTTCTGGTCATTGGACAGCGATGAGTCAGAGCCAACTCAGTGGCAACTAAAAATCATGTTACTTATCTACAAATAAAAGCATTTCTTCCCTAAATTTTCTAATCTCCTTTTATACTTTAAGAAACTGCTGTGCTGGTTCCTTTCTTTAAGCAAAAATACAGGCACATTGCATATTTGTTACAAGTGGTTATGTCCCAAGAAAAGCACATTTGAGGAAAGGAGATATGTAAGACTCTATCTGCTGTATGTGATCCTTTGAGTTTCACTATTGCCAGAGTTTAGGAGCTCTGGTAGCATAGTGCCTAAGGCACTTGACTGCTAACCAGAAGGCTAGTGGTTCATACCCACTAGCCACTTCTTGGAAGGAAGGTTGGGCAATCTACTTCCGTAGTGATACCACCTCGGAAACCCAAGGAGGGGTTGCTATGAGTCAGGTGTGACTCGATGGCATGTAATGGCAACACCACCACCAACACTGCCAGAGGTTACAGTTGTAAAGCTCAAAATGATCAAGCGGCTTCACAGAAAAGTCACAGAACCTATTATGTATTTTCAGGTAGCAGCTTTAACTTTCTGCTCTAAAGAAACTTAAAGGGGAGCTTCCCCATTCTCACAATAGTTTCTGGGACTCTTTCTTGAGACTGTTTGAATAGTTGCTATTTACAAACTTCCAGTTTACCAGTGGTTGTTAGGCAGTTGCTAGGATGAGTAATGTTTTAGTTTGACTTTAAACTTAGTTAGCAACCCCAACTAAAAACACTGTGGAGGAATGGATGGTGAGGAATGTGTGGATTGATATCTTTCACAACTGAAGAGAAGTTTGGTAAATTTGTGATAGTTTTATAATTTACTCTTGCACAAATTTAGTGTCAGTCCCTTTATCTATGTATGATTTATACAGCATAGAATAAACAAAACCCCACTGTTGTTGAGTTGATTCTGACTCATAGCAACCCTATGAGACAGGGTAGAACTGCTCTCTGTAGGGTTCTCAAGGCTGTAAACATTTACAGAAACAGACTGTCATATCTTTCTCCTGCGGAGAGGCTTGTAGGTACCAACTGCCAGTCTTTTGGTTAGCAGTCAAGTACTTTAACTGCTGCGCCACCAGGACTCCTTTAGCCTAGCCTAGACCCTCAAGGGAGGGAGCAGGAGAGGCCAGGGACCTCAGGAGTGGCAGGATATCCAGGTAAAGGGGTGGGAGGCAAGGCAGGCCCCAGCCTCGCAGAGCTAGGAAAGGGAGGGAGCTGCCGGGGACCACAAAGTGGCAGGTTCCAGGCAGGAATCAGGTAAGGGGAGGGCGCAGAGGTTTCCAACAGCTAAGGAAGACAAACTCATCTGTCAGTTTGTCATCCTGTGGGGCTTATACATTGTTGTGAGGCTTGAGGCTGTGCCACTGGTATTTTAGACACCAGCAGAGTTACACATGGTGCACAAGTTTCAACACAGCTTACAGACTAAGACAGACGAGGAAGAAGGAGGAGGCCATCCACTCCTCAAAAATTGGCCAGGGAAAACCTTATGAATAGCAGAGAAACCCTGTCTGATACATTACTGGGCAACTTTATGAATTGTTTGGAAACATTGTCCAACACAGTGCAGGAAAACAAGCCCCTTGGGTTGGAAGGCACTCAAAATAGGACTGGGAAGATCTGTGTGATCAGAGTAGAACCAACTTTAATGATATGGATGAAATAAGTCTTTCAGGACCTCCTGGTGGCATGACTCAAACTGAGGAGAAACAACTGCAAACATCCATTAATAATCGGAACATGGAATGTACGAAGTATGAATCTAGGAAAATTGGAAGTTGTCAGAAATGAAATGGAGCACATAAAGATTGATATCCTAGGCATTAGTGAGCTGAAATGGATGGGTTTGGGGCATTTTGAATCAGACAACCATATGATCTACTATGCCAGGAATGACAAGTTGAAGAGAAATGGTGTGGCATTCGTCATCACAAACGATGTTTCAAGATCTGTCCTGAAGTACAATGTTGTCAGTGATAGGATAATATAATATCCATATGCCGACAAGGAAGGCCAGTTACTACTACTATTATTCAAATTTATGCAGCAACCACCAAAGCCAAAGATGAGGATACTGAAGATTTTTACCAACTTCTGCAGTCTGAAATTGACTGAACATGCAATCAAGATGTGTTGATTATCACTGGTAATTAAAATGCAAGAGTTGGAAACGAAGAAGAATCACCAGGAGTTGGACAATTTGGCCTTGATGACAGAAATAACGTTGGAGATTGCATGATAGAATTTTGGAAGACCAACGACTAACTCATTGCAAGTACCTTTTTTCAACAACACAAATGACAGCCATACACATGTACTTTTGCAAGATGGAGTACACAGGAATCAGACTGACTACATCTGTGGCAAGAGGAGATGGAAAAGCTCAATATCTTCAGCCAAAACAAGGCCAGGAGCTGATTGTGGAACAGACCGTCAACTGCTTATATGCAAGTTCAACTTGAAATTGAAGACAATTAAAACAAGTCCACAAGAGCCAAAATACAACCTTTAATACATCCCTCCTGAATTTAGAGACCATATAAAGAATAGATTTGATCCATCAAACACCAGTGATCAAAAACCAGAAGAATTGTGGGATGACATCAAGAACATCATCCATGAAGAAAGCAAGAGTTCATTAAAAATATGAGAAAGAAAGAAAAGACCAAAATGGATGTCAGAAGAGACTCTGTAACTTGTCCTTGAGCAAAGAGTAGCTAAAGCAAATGGAAGAAATGACAAGATAAAAGA